ATTCTTTCCTTTGCTTCGCTATACCTTGCTGGTTCATCCAAAAAGAAAGTATCTTTTGCCCGGGCCCTGTTCACCATTTAATTGACGCGCCGTGTGGCGGATGCTCATTCGCCCAGATTCTGATCCCGTGGTCGAGGCTGTCACAATCAATGAGTTGTATCGCGCGCGCGTGTGGGGGAGGAATTTGTCTCCTCAGATAGCATTACCTGACCCCACGAGGCTGCCAAGTTCAATGGTATGCTATGTTGCGTTGGCCGCTCTGTAGCTAGGCCTCACCGGTTTCTGGGGTAGAGCTGTTCTGGCCTCGCTGCTGTACGAGATATCACACTTAATTCGTCCAATCAGTTCTGCGGGATGAGTTGAGTATGCGGAATTACCGCCTGGGGTAGAACGAGGCCTTATTGTGGCGAGAGGGAATGGGATGTCGGGGCAGGTAAGTCGACGTGTCTATATGCCTCAATTAATGTGTTGTAGATCATTGAGGGTATGCAGAGGTGTTGTGATGCTGGCTGATGGACCCGGTATCAAGACGCTGGGCCGGGAGATGGCGCGTTGCAGGGCAAAGACGTTTGTCGGTGTTTTTCGGAAGAAAGGATTTGAAATGGCTCAATGGATGTATCTGGGCGCACGTGCTGACTTTGCTCTCTAGGCGGATTCACTTGTAACGTTTGTTTGAGGTTATCGTAGGTTGAGTGTCCATTTGAGGGAGAGCTTCCAAGCGCCCAAGCCAATCAAACTCGCCAATTGTCAGTGATACGGATGGAAGTCCCAGGAATTTAATTAGGTGTGCGCTGAGAGTCTGATCCCGGTTCATTCAACGGAAATGGTTGAAGCGGTTAAATCTGAGCAGTGCTTGTTCGCGATGTTACAGCTTTAGGGTAGGCAAGACTCGCTGCTTGTTCTTTTGAGTACTACGCTGTGCATTTGCCAGTCATGTTTTTGTGCTATAGATCTTGTGTTAGTATTGGGTGCTATAAAGGATATTAATGAATGGTAACAAGTCTTATGGTACCGGTCGCGAATGTTATTCGTAAAGTCTGGTGTAATGGCGGTCTTACTAAGACCACAGCATTTTGGTGAACCTGAGCTTGGGTCATATCCAGTTCACGACTAAGTCCGGGAAAATATGATAAATTTAAGAAGAGAAAAGCTTTATAAATACAGAACAAGCCTCTGAGTAAACTGCCTGCTTCAATGGTTGGTTCGTGATGAAATGTATCGTCAGTTCTTGGAGCTACCGGGTAGTTGAGTTGACTACTGAATCGATCGCTTCACTGGAAGGAGATTTGAAGGGATCGCGAACAAGAACTTTAAAAAAGGAAGATCATGAATATTTCGGCCTTTAATTTGGCGATAGAAGCATGATGCATCGCGAAATCTCCTGGTCGCGATGTGTCAAGAACCTCCATTCTGAATACCGCCCAAGACAAGGGCGTTAGGTTCACTCGAAACACTTGTATCCTGTTGCGCTGCTGTGAGAAAGAGGGCAGTATCAAGTATGTTTCACTTGAAACTGGCTCGAATTTATTGCATTCAACTGGCATTCTTTTCGCCTGTTCTTGGGGAGAGGTGGCAGTCCCCAATCTCGAACGGTGTGTCCAGTGACACTTGTCTATCTGTCCTCTCAAGAGAATGAGTAGATATAGGCTCAGTCGCTGCGATACGCGATACAGGAAGTTAGATACTCTAATTGATGTTGCTCGAAATGGCGTCAGCCTGAAAACGCCGTACATGAGACAGTGAATGTGCTCATGATATGTCTTGAAACCAGGAATCACCTACAGACTCGGTTGTTGTTACAAAAAAGTCTCATCCGACATAAACAGTGACGACGAGGCTTGATCCAGGGTAGCATTCACTCTTCAGCTGTCATTTATCTACAAATCCCAACAAATCACCGCCTCTGGAGCTGACAACCTCCGGACGATGTCCTCCGTGATATCGGCAATCGGCCCCACGCCGGAGGTTACACCCGGGATCGACGAAATCCATGACCGAGCCTCATCATCCAGGCAAACCTGCACATCAAAACAGGGTACGAGCATCTCACCAACAAGGTTGCGATGTTCAGATCAAGACGCTAACCAAGGCCCGTTTGTGTCATTTGCGGAACCGTGACGTGGAGGTTGCATCCAGTACTGCACAAGCTGAATAGAGCTTACGACAGCTATCGATATCCACTGAATTTTACGCTTCGGGTGATACATACACTGTGTTTGCTTTTCTGGGGAATAAGTTGCTGTGATTGGAAGAAATAAATGTTTTGTTGGTTGCAGCTGTCGCTCGTTAATCTAAGATCTTATGACGTCACGGAAGGAGGGCAGATGTCATGATACTGATTCCCTGGCATTTTGACGTAGGAGGCGGGGCATCAAATTCCAGCTCAAGAGAGATGAAGGCTTAACAACTCCAATTCCCCATTCAACACACGTTGGCGATTACAGTTGAACGACAGTAGACATCATGGCTACAACAGACGATCCAAACCGTAGCTTCACAGCAAGCAACACAGGAAGCGAACCAGAAATAATAGAACAGCACCAAGAAGAAGCCCCAACCGTCAGCCACGCTCTCGCCGAAGAATCTCAAAACTTTGAAGAAAAAGGCGCAGCGCAGCTTGAGCACGGCGACGTTGAGGTGAAAAATCTAGGATGGAACGAACCTCCTCGCGTGGTGCCCCCGCTGGTGGGAGGCTTGAAGAATGAAGATGTCTGGGCTTTGATACGACGCTTCGATAAGCAGGTCTTTTATGTCAGGAGTATCGAGGAGCCCCCACTGGGAATGCTGGATATGAACATCGCAGACGAAGAAGAGTTTTCGCCTGAGAAGCTTAGGGCACAGATCGAGCGACTCTACGTTTCCGTGTTTGCGCAGTTATTTTCGTTCTGGAAGCATATTGTGCGTCTTCGTTCGTGGAGGGAGTATCAGCGAACATCTGCTTTCCTTGCAGTGTACACACTCGCATGGCTTCTCGACATTCTCGGCCCCACGATCATTGTCTTCCTCATGGTACTCATCTGGTCCCACGAGGCCCGCGACATCTGCTTCCCTGGAGCACCACCCTCGATAATCGACTCCAAGACAGGAGGTGTCAAGAAACCAGCAGCTGGTGTTCTAGCGTCTGATGATTCAGTCACTGGTGCGCCGGAGAAGCACAAGGGTGAAGCAGTCGAGCAGGAGGCTCATAGCTTTGTGACGAGCTTGTCTACGGTATGTTCAGGTGTAAGATTTGCTTTTTTAAAACCCCAAGATTGAAGACTGAGTGATTGCAGATAGTTGTTAGCACGGCCGCGGGTAAACACCCCCAGACGGATCCCGACGATGATAGCGCCGCGCCTGACCCGACGGAACTCACTGAAGTGGCCACCGAGGCTAGACAGAAATCTGTTGGAGAGAATCCTCACGCTGAACATAACAGGGCCAAGAAGCCGGTTTCGAACGCTGTGTGGGATAAGGCGCGCCCGACGATGCATCTGATTGCTGACTTTGTTGATACCTGGGAGCGATTCGGCAATGCCTTGAGTCCCGCAGCGCCTTTTCATCGTCATCGACCCAAGTTTATTCTCATTGGTGTACTTGTTCCCATGCTCCTTGGAGCTTGGTTCACGACTCCCTACATGGCCATGAAGGGTATGGGATTTGCTGCTGGATTCGGATTCTTCGGTGATCCCATCATCACGCCCACTATGAACTTCATCAACAGGACATATCCCCGCTGGGAGAAGTATGTCGAGTTGCGAAACACCATTCTTCGAGGCGTTCCTACAAATGCGCAGTTGGCTATCACTCTTCTTCGCATTGGCGAGAAGAACAAGGCTCCTCTGCCACCGCCTCCTTCATCCGACGTGCCTCCCCCGACTGTTCCCCACGAGACTGCTGGAGAGGGCTTGGAGCATTTAGGTGTGTACCATCCACTGATCAAAGTTCAACTCATACTAACACCACCAGAAGGAGTATCACAGAGCGAAATTGCTGAGGCTGTCCAGCCTGATCCAAACATCATCCACGAAGATGAACAGGAAGAGGAGGAAGAAAAGACAAAGCACAAGAAATCTCATCGCATCATGAACTTTATCCGCGGTACAGCAAAGGGTGGTGTTACAACAGCTCTAGCCGCTGACAAAGCCAAAGCCAAAGCAGGCGCTCATCATGCAAAGAATCGTCTCGGTGTAGTGAAGGGTCAAGAACCATATCCTCTCACAGGACCAATTCGCTTCCCCGCGCGATACAAGGGTAAAAAGGGCCATGCGTACATCACAGCCACAGCTACGACACCAGCTGTCAGTTGGACGACTGAGCTTGGAGATCTAAAGCCCGCTTGGACCGTGACTATTGGTGACATCGATGAGCTGAAGAAAATGGGTGGCCTCGGGTGGAAGAGCAAGATCATTGTTGGTTGGGCTATGGGGAGTGAGATTGTGGATGGTTTGATGATTAGGACCAAGGACGGGCAGGAACATCATCTCACGGCGGTCTCCATGCGGGATCAATTGTTCAACAGGTTGATCTCCATGGGAAACCAGATGTGGGAGGCGTGGTAGGTTCGTCTTTTGGGAGTAGTCTTGATTTGGTAGGTGTCTGGAGTTTGGTGATGGAATCATGATACTCTTTGATACCAGGAACACGAAGTACGATGTGGAATCAATGTTTGGAATCAATTAAATTGCAAGTCTAGACCTTGCTAGCTGAAGCATTGAGGTGAACAAAAGATCCTGCTTTGTAATCTCGTGAGTCCACTGAGGATCTCAATACTCTAAATCCTCCAAACAATCAAGCCAAACGTGGGGAAAGTGGGACAATTTGACAGGGTGACGTCAATTGAATACAGAGGAGAGCTTACAGATCAAATCACATCTGCAAGTGACAACTCGGCCGAGGTCGCTCAAAGGTGGGGGATAAAAAGGGTGATAGTGATACAAGAAAACAAGAATATCCTCCCCCAATTCCCTATTTCTGTACAAGATCGTCCCAATCGCAAGCTAAACTAAACTAAACCCATCATGAGCTTCACCCCAGAGCCCTACGACCCCGTCACTGCCGACTCATGGCTCGTCTGCGACACCTGCGGAACTCAATTCCCAACGTCTGATCGCAGCGCCCTCAAGACATGTCACATCTGCGATGACCCGCGCCAATTCGTGCCGGCGTCAGGCCAGTCGTTCTCTACGCTGGGGGACTTGAAGAAGAGGCATACGAACGAATGGACAAAGTGTTCTTCTGATGAGAACATCACGTTCATTTCGTCGCAGCCGAAATTGGCGATTGGACAGCGTGCTATTCTTATTAAAACGCCGGAGGGGAACATCCTCTGGGACTGTATCACGTTGCTTGACGATGAGACTATTGAGAGGATCAAGAGCGAGGGAGGGTTAAAGGCGATTGTTATAAGCCATCCGCATTTCTACAGCACCCACGTTCAATGGGCTCGCGCATTCAATTGCCCAGTCTATCTCTCCGCCGAAGACAAAATCTGGACAACCCTCCCCTCAACGCACCAAATCTTCCTCACGGCCCTCGAAACGCCCATCATCTCCAGCGCAAAGGCCATCAAGCTCGGCGGGCACTTCCCAGGCTCCATGGTGCTGCACTACAACTCGCGGCTGTTCATAGCCGACACGCTTATGACGACGGCGTCAGGCGTCGGGAACTGGAGTGTAGACGCCACGGGTGCCTCGCGGTCCCGACCGGCTGGTTTGAACTCGTTCTCGTTCCTGTGGAGCATTCCCAACTTCATTCCTCTGGGCGTCGGGGAGATGGCGAGGATGTGGGGGATTCTGAAGGGGTATGAGTTTAGGGCTACGCATGGAGGATTCATGGGGATGGATATTGAGAGTGAGGATGTCAAGGAGAGGGTTTTGGAGAGTATGAAGATACAGGCTGGGTTTATTGGGGATAAGGAGTTTGAGGAGAAGCTGTGATGTGTGATGAATGCTTACTTTCCTTTGTTGGGTATCAAGTATGAGAGATGAGAGACGAGAGATGATAATGATGTTGTTAAATTAAAAGATATGTAAATAATTAAATCAGGGCCATTCTGATATCTGGGTATTGACCAAATTTTTAACATGCATCCAACTCCTGTTCATGCATCTCAGTCTTTCTATCCACCAACGCCATAAATCTCAGTATAAACATGCAAAGCTCAGTCCTTCTTCCAGAACTTCCACTTTTGCTTTGTCGGCGACGATGGACATAGATAACGGTTAAGCAGCTCTCGACCCTCATCAGGAAGATCGATAACAGATTCGTTGAGCGTATCGATAATAAAGCGATTCGCTATAAACAATTCGTTAGCACTAATTCAACATGTCACCCAAAGAAAGAGGGAACTTACGCATCAAGTCGACGCCGCATTCGCCAGCGTCAATAGCCATATCGATCCTTGTAGAATTATAGCATCCATATCGAAGTTGCAGCTCAAGCATGCATCTCCATAACTCTCTTGTCTCATCAAGGCTCATGCCTTCGCAGCTGCGTTCAGAGCATGTGCTTGCTTGGCGGGATCGATGGTTATCGTGGTGGGATTGTTTTGGTAGAGGGATTGCCTCGTCGCTGGGGGGACTCCACATGCCGGGGAGGGAGAGAGGACCAGGATGATTCTCGCGATACATTTTGGGTGATGATGATAAAATGTTGGTGATGGTAACAAAAGGTGATATAGTTGATGAAATGCTGAGGAGGAATCGAGGTCTTATATAAACAGCCTCAAATACTTTCTCCTTTCTTTTTCCTCTCTCGCCCTTTTCTTGATTTCAGGCTCGTGAGTTGTCTCTGCTGTAGTGGGGTTTTTCTTTCTGGCCCAATATGACAGGCAGAACCCTGCTTATTTATATCAAAGCGCAAAAACAAAACACAAATACCAAAAACCAGGGCGAACCCGATTAAGTTATACTAACGAACCTGTCCCACGGTGAGTACCGCAGACAAAGCAAGCAAACAGGAGGGTGGGAAGCTTTGCGCAGTCAGCGGGAGAGCGCCACTTTGAGGGTCTGAGACAGTTGGAGCTTCTTGATGATGGAGCCAAGAAAGGCGTCAGTGAGTCACATGTGGGAATAAACCATGCTTAATTCCGTGTCATCAGCGAGTTTTTACTCCGTACGGTTATGATTGTTATGAGGAGGGTGGGTGTCATCATCGGAACATTGCCTGACGGAATAGGTAGAGTAGACATCACAAGTGATCGACTTTGCATACGAAAAGACACGGGAGAGAGAGAAAATCCTTTCGGCAGTTTGGGTACGTACTGGGCCTGTCACTCGACGCCAAGTTAGTATGTGATCTGCGGGACCATGGACGGATTGAGGCTTGCAAGCCTGATCTGATGCCCAAGAGTCCAAGACCAAGAATCAAGATGGGGGGGTCACAAGGACAGGCTTGTGATAACGACAGACGCCAAAAGACAGGACGGTTTCGATAAGCTTTTGCCTAACAGCAGTGGCATGGCATGATAGAACCATGACGACGGGATGGAAGATAGCAGAAGCATACCTACCTGCTGCGGTCGACGGATAGGTGAGTAGCCGTGATTTGAGGTCTGTTACTGTACCCGTGAAAGCCGCTATAGCCGGGTACAGTAAACATCATTGACTCTTCTCACTCGAGTCACAGTCACACTTCACAGTTGCATTCTGAGCCAAGACTGGTTTAAGGCTGAAGGGAGGAAACATCCGGTTGCCCCGCCCCATAAAATAGGTCCAAATAGCACGGGAGGACCCTGGGTTCCACTGTCGGAGGAACCCTTTTTAGCGATTGCACTCCCTAGCAATTGAAAGTACCGCCGGTATTCACGGATAACTCAGACGTTTGAGTACCTATATCCGTTGAAGCGGTCAAGACTGTGGCTCTGCAGAAGAAGTCGAGGCAGTGTTTTCTCAACGGTGCACTCCCAGTGCAAGGGATATACATACATTCACCGCCAAGACAACAAATTCACAATTACGTGGCGTGCAGTACAAACTCAACCACAATCATGAACAAAAACTGCGCCTCGAAACAAACACGTGCCTCGTTTTCGATATAGCAAACAGCATACCTTGCATGGATACCTCCGAGTAGCTGGTATTTCATTAATACTCTTGTGGCGTTAGATCTTGGTTGTGGCGCACTTTCCCCGGATGCCACCTTGGATCTCATTGTTCCAGATCGTGAAGTTAAGCTTGGACTTGGTGAAGAAGGTTCTTAGCGATGGAGAGCTATTGTTACTTCGCGGGTGGAAGCTGAATGTTTGGACGGGAGTTGGTTTGTGGAGAGAAGGTTTGGCCAGTGTAAATGAATGAATGAATGGAAATCTCCACTCCACACGGTATTGGCAGATGGCATGTTGCAGCAGACTCTCGAATACTGATCATATCACGAATAATTGAGATATTGGCCTATCGCTGAAGGAAAGAGAGTCTACTTGGTGCATGCATGTTTGTTCGATTGGCTTTGTATGGCTTGTAAGTTAGCTGCTGCCAGAGAACAGTTTCCAATTATTGACTCTCATCCATATCCCAAGCACCACCATCTGAGCAGCTAGATACTCTCCACCTGAGAATCCTCAAACGCTTCACATTAAACAGATCGATCTTCGAACATGATGAAGCATAAATATCTTGACTGATAACCGAGTCAATCGCAATAATCTCCGTCAATAGTCACAAACTAGCGCTTGCTAGTTCGCCCATTCAGCCTCAGCTGCAATCTCCCCTGTCAAGGGGAGGCAAGAAAATCTAGACCATCTTGTCTCAGCGATAAAAAGGCTTAGGCAGAATGCATTCTACCTGGCTAGTACTTTAGACCAATTTATTTTCACACCCTAACTCAGTGTCAAAAGTTTTCTTGCTCCTTCTTAGGCCTCTCAACATCTAGAACCCAATAGTTCAATCTCCTATTCCTTGGTAAAAAAAGTCTTCAGAATTGACGATGGGGTAATTTCTCTCTTTCATCTGCTTTGGCAGTCGTCACTCGTTGTTTTATCGTCAAGATGCGTTTCGTGCTTCTATGGTCGCTGCTTGCGGCGCATACTGCGGTCGCCAGCGTCTGTAAACCTCGCCAGTCAAGTGATTCAAGTAAGTGCTCCCAAAATGTCTGACGGAATTGAGGAACTAATTATCAATAGGTACATCTGCGACCGTTGCGATTAAGACTACGGCGACAGATATTGCCGAGTCATCTACCAGCATCGCAACGTCGACAGCGGAAGATGTAAGCACTACCAACGTCGCAACGACTGTCGAGACCAGCACCGAGACAGCTGTTTCAACACTCACAGTCGCCGAAACCACGACCAGCGACATCGCCGGACCTCTCGAGACATTCGTTCTCACTGGCGAAGTCGAAAACACCGTTAGCGATGAGCTCTCAGGCGCAGACCGCGACGGTTCGTCAGTAGTATGGCCAACACCACGCTTCATCGCCAGCGGTCCATTGATCATCTCCATCGACTCCACAACAGGCTATCTACAAACAAGCGGTGGATTCTACCTATGCGTTGCATACGGAGATGGCACTACACCCAATGGTGTTAAGCTTTGCAGTGCCGAGTCGCTTGAAAATCCTGCATTTGGCGCTCTAACATGTGAGCAGACGGAGGATCGGAAGATTACATGTGAAGCTCAAGCTGGGCAGTGCATTAGCGATGGTGAGAATAACATATGTTCTGAGCTCCCGGGCACGTATGATCAGTTCTATTACTATAGGGGAGCTTTTAATGGGGTTTATCTCGGTATCGGGTCTGCTGTAAATGCCGATGAGAGCCAGCATCCTGTTGAACTCAAGGCCAGACGAAGCAGCACATGATTATGGAAGTAATTACCAGAGCAGACCACATCTAGAAGACGTAATGAATAGCTGGCATGATCCGTGGCTCAGAGCTGAAGACCCTGTGTCGTCACACCTCAGAGCTTCCCAGCCACGGCGTCCGCGGCTCGATGATCCAACGTTCCAGACCCGTCATGTCACCTCAGCCCTAAACCTTTGTAGCTAGGACATTAAGGTTGTGTATTCCGGGTTGCTGGGTATTAAGCTTTATGCAGTCAGCTCACTGATACCGGCGCCACCGGATGTTTGCAGCTTGACTTAGTGAGAGTCAATGGATGTTAACGTTGCTGCCTGTTAGCACTTTAAACAGTAGCGCTCAGAAGCATCTGATTTTTAACGTCAATTGAATGAGCTTGTTTGTTTACTAAATTCTGACGGTGAGGGGTTGCTGTTAACGGGCGCTGAGATGCGTGGGGATGAGCTCCAGGAAGATGAACTCTCGCCGATGACTCACAATGTCAAGTTTGTGATGGCTGAAAAGGCGAACGGAGATTGATTTAACTCCTACCCATGCCAGAATTGCTGACAAGTAGTGCGAGAGATGCGATAAAGAGCAACCGACGAAGTTTGAGACCTTGGTGACCCTGAGAACGACTGACTGACGACGCCAGCTTGCTTCTCGACGGCGATAAGAAGGAACTCCGAGACAAAAGTGATGAGGGAGTTTCCTGATCACGAGAGGCATGAACTCAATCTCAATATCGAACATGTTGCGAGACTACTTCTTCATCATGATGCGAACGAACCATGAAGCAATACTGACCTCGCAAAGGCGCACATGTAGAGAAAAGCTCGCTGGGGAATGATCCAAAGAGACATTAGTCTGATAGTGCTGAGAAATGCAAAGCAGCTTCACAAAGGGGTAATGGGGAGAAAGTCCTCTCTCAGGAGCGTGGCTATGACACCAGGCAGTGTCGATGCTTGCCATCGACTTCTATAGTACTCCGACTCTTCAAAAACTGACATAGCGCCATAAAACGTACCCCTAATCGGCCCTCAACGCCCTCGATACGAATCAGTACGGGACATCATCTACCTGTCTCCTGCCAGCACCGAGCAATCTCAAACTCGGCAGCATCTAGCGCTTGAAGCCATGATAGAAGCCTGGGATCTTGAG